GCTCTGCCTTTTTCATAGCAGGTGCTAGCTTATTCTTTACCACCTCCACACATATACCAACACCAGTAACCTGAAAACAGATATATCTATTTACTTTTATTATTATCACTATAATAATAATAATAATTTTTTTTTTCTTCTAACCTTTTCCTGAGTCTTGAGCAATCCTTTTCTAGCAATTCTCATCCGTACAGCTGAATAAAATGGCAAGGCGTTTCCACCACATGTCACCTCATTTACTCTAAGTCCCTCTTGGCGTGATCTCAAATTTGATCTCACCTAGAAACAAGAGTTACAATTGGCTATCACATATTTAAAACTGATTTTATAACCATATATAATATACTAACCTGATTTATAAATATAATAAGAGTATCTGAACGACATAAAGAATAATGAATCTTGCGAAGTGCTCGTGTCATTATTCGTGATTGTGTCTCGATGATATTGTCACTTATTACACCTGTAATTTCACGTTGTGGGATGAGTGCAGCAACCTATAGAAATAAAGTCAATGAATTAGAAAACCAAGAGATCGATTGGACAAGATTTGAAAAAGTGGGTTTGATGATGAAGAGAGGAGGGCATTTATGTCTTTTGCTAAGATTTTTCCTTACACTGTCGATAACAATCACATCAACTGCTCCACTTTGTGTGAGGGTATCAACAATACTCAGCAAATTTTCAGCAGAATTTGGCTGTGAGATGAGAAGATTTTTGGTATTTACACCAACTGTTTCGAGCAGCAGGGGGTCCAGTGCATTCTCCACATCCAAGTAAGCACAATAACCTACCAAAAATAACTTATAATCATCATAAAATGTGAAAAACCTGCGCATTGTTTATATGTGGAATTAGACAACAGTGGAACGCACCTCCAAGCTTTTGAGCTTCCTTGATTACATTCAAAGCAAGTGTTGTCTTGCCTGATCCCTCTTGCCCATAAACCTCAACAATTCTTCCCTGTAATGTACACTTTGGTTGTTATTATTCTAGGGTTCATAATGATATAACTATTATGTATGTGTGTAATTTGCTAATACCATATAAGAAGCTACTAATCTAATTACCTTTGGTAATCCTCCAATTCCAAGAGCAAGATCAAGCTTCAAGGAGCCTGTGGATACTACAGGTTTCACTCTCGTGCGAAAAAATCGCTGCAAGAACAACATAGATTCCCCATCAAAATCACCTGCAAGTTCTGATAGGGCTGAATGAAGAGCTGTATGCTTTTCTGCAGCTTTAATATCATCATGAAGTTTATCATCTTCTAGGTCTGAGGCTTCAACTGCAAGCATATAATAGTCAATGACAAGAAAATTTAGACCAAGATGAGATTGTAACTGACATGGACAGATTTATACACCCTCAGAAAAGCTGATCACAACTTCATAATGCCCTCCATGGGATTTGCAGGAATTAGAATCCAATTCCACATGGCAACTACAGATTATTACAGAGTTAATCTAATAAACTTGAGATGTAGGTTAATCTGACTGTATCATCCCTACCAACTATGGACGATTCAATGTCTACCCATATATTATATTAGATATTTCATGGAGATGCATAAAGACAATCAAATATGTGCTGATACCGAAGAAATATATAATTTAACGGCGGGTTATACTATATATAAAAGGTATGCATAAAAAGGGGAGGGGGGCTCTGATTACCTGTAGATGAAAAATAACAATGGCTCATGTTTTTCCCGGTGATTCTTCCTTTGAGATTCTGAACTTTTCATAAACACCAAGAAGCAAAACACAAATATAGCTCAGAAAACATGTTACATAAGGAACGGCACAAATGCAAAAGAAATAAGGTGATTAGGGTGACTGCGACAGAGAACCTGTTGTTGTTTGCAGGTGGAAAGGAAACCGAAGAGTAGACTCGGTCGGAAGACATTATGGAATCGAATAGACTTGATTAAGAAAGGAATTTTTGAACTCATTTAGCTTCTGATCTTGTAGCTGGGCTCTTTAGGGTTACTGACGAACCATTTTATCAAATTTTCATCTTCGCCAGATGTCTCAACGCCTCCTCTAGTCTCGCACAGCTACAAAATTGACGGGGATTACTAGTCGGCAGTCGCCGCTCACGGAGAGCAAGGGCCGGTGCTCGAGGGGGAGCCGCAAACCTCCGTTTGATATTTTCCCCGCGCACACAAACCAGGTTTCATAATTTTTCGCAAGAATAAATTATAGATTAGTCCCTATACTATACCATTTGTTACATGTCTGGTCCTAAATATATAATTGTTGCAAATTTGGCTATGATTTTAGTTTATTGTAGATTTGATCGCTCATGTAAACCTATATGGTCAGTCCTCTCATCCCATGTTTTATTTCGTTGTGGATTTACAACGATTTTTTGCTTGTTTTATCAACTCGATTTGCTCCTCACATCCAATGTTTTATTATTTTTATATTATTTATATAAATATTAAATAGAATTAAAAGTAAGTTATACCATACCTCAACTCTTTCAAGCAACGTTTTAAAAACCGGTTTGAACCGGCCGGTCGAACCGGTTGGACCGGACACCGGGGAAGAAAACGGTTCAACTATTACCGGTTTTATGTCTATTTCTGAACCGGTCAGTTTTTACAAAAATCCGGTTGAACCGGTTCAATTAAGCTGGTTGAACCGGTTAAATTTAATAAAAACACATGGATACGAAACTTTTTGCATAATTAACTTTAGTATTTTTTTCACATTTATTGAAAGTTTTCTTAATAAAAACACATTATAAATGTTATGAAGTTTTTTGATGTGTTTATATTTATCTAGGACTTTATTTTCTTTTTAATGCATGTGGACTTATGTAAAACTTACGGTTATGAGTTATTTTAATGTATTTAGATTGATCTACAATTTGTTTTCATGTATATTTTAATGTTTGCACTTGTGGACATCAAATTATTTCTTTGTGTATGTATTTGATTTCTTTGTGTATGTATTTATGTGTAGGAAAATATGAAAAAATATGAAAATTATAAAAACCGGTTTATTCAACGATCGAAGCGGTTAAACCGATTGAACTGGAAATCGTTTATTATACCGGTTTTTAAAATATTGCTTTCAAAACGTACCTGTAAAACACAACACCAACTAACTCAAGACCAATGTGGAAAGCGTAACATTAACAACTAACAATATTAACAATATTTTAATATTTTAGGTAGTTAGAGTTTAAACCTTATATGTAGAATTCTATTTATCAACCAAGATAATAGTATTAACATTATTTTGCATCGTTGGACCCTATTTTACCGTTTTAGTTTTCCGTTTAAATTAAAACTAAAACGGTAAAAGTTGTCAAAGACTAAGATCAGGACAGTTCTGTTATGGTGTGTTATGGTGCACAAAGTCTCTAAGTCATGAGACGTTGTTTACCATATCACATCATCTTAGGCTATAAATGTCACGTCATCTTAAGCTATAAAGAGTGGAGTGCGGTAAATGCCACGTCATCTTAGGCTATAAAGAGTGGAGTTCAATAAGAATGAAGTGATAACTATGTGGTACCACCGCCCCATCCTCTCTCCCTTTTTTCCGGGTTCTCTTTTCATGGTATACCATACATATAAATCCTATGTGGTAAAGGAGTATGGCAAATGCCTTACCTTATGGACTAAACATGAACCAAATTATGAGCTAGGGATGAAAGTGGGTCCAAACCCGGACCCGATGGACCCGGACCCGGAAAACCCGGAACCGGTTAACGAGATTTTATAGAACCGGAAACCGGACCGGTATATAGGAACCGGTTCCGGTTCGGTTCCGGGTATGGTTCCGGGTAAAGTGGGTCTAGAACCGGAAAACCCAGAAACATCAAAGTGGGTAGGTTGGAACCGGATAAAGTGGGTTTAGACCCGAAAAACCCGAAAAAACTGGAATTTTTGGTAATTACTTACAACTTAGTGGGTTGAACTTTGAAAATTTTCATATTGATATCTCCACTTTGGGGGGCTGTAACTTATTGAATACGAAACCACAATTAACAAAATTAGAGTCCAAAATCATGTACAAAGTCTAAAATACACTCTGGAAAAAACCCGCATGTCAATCCGAATTTAAACGAATGAGATATACCTGTGTTAATATTTTCACATAATACAAAGTACAAAAACATTTTCAGTTTTGATATCCCGACTTCGGAGGACTGTAAATCATTGAATGTTAAACCAAAAATGACAAAATTATAGTCTAAACTCATGCACAAACTGTAAACTAGAAGTTGAAAAAAAACCACATGTCAATCCGACTTCAAACGAATTAGATATGCATGCTTTAAAACTTTCACCGAATACAAAAAAACTAAAAAACTAAAAACTTTCAGCTTTGGTATCTCAACTTTTGAGGACTGTAAGTCAATGAATATTAAACTAAAAATGAAAAATTTATAGTCTAGAGTCATGTACAAACTCTAAACTACATGTTGGAAAAAACCGTATGTCAATTGGAGTTGAAACGAATAAGATATACATCTTGTAAACGTTTCACAAAAAGTGGTTCCGGCCCTAAAAGTGGTTCCGGTTCCAAAAACCGGTTCCAGATTTTAGACCCGATTTACCCGGACCCAATGGACCCAAACCCGGATTACCCGGAACCCGGAACCGGACCCGGTTCTATATATTCCGGTTCTAACGGGTCCGGTTCCGGTTCGGTTCCGATTCCGGTCCGGTTTTCCGGTTCTAAATCTCATCCCTATTATGAGCATAAAGATTCGTATTCGTCTTTTGAAGACTTTTTTTTTTTTTTTTTTTTTGAGATAATCAAATTCTAATTAAAAGTATTTTCAAATAAGAGTTGATATATTGGATATAAAGAAACATCGTTAGCTACAAAGATCCGTGCTTGCTATCCGTCCATGATCATTAGTATAGAAAACATTCATCGACAACTACATCGCCAAACATTCAAGTTTCCATTTTCCAATATGACATAAATGCGTCCACGGAAGAAGCACCAAAAGGACCAACCGCAATTACTCTTTCACGTCTTTCCAGCCGAGCCCTGGTCTGCAAATCTCCTTTTGTGGCTCTTCATAATCTCTGGCATCACGTAACGAAGCTTCAAAGTCGGTGGAATCACTTGCAACAGGAAGAAAATTACTTATGTCGTCTCTAGCACCAAACCCACCTGCCCGCATTACATCATCAGCTGAGATTGAAGCCTCCATATTCACATCACCACCACCGGAATCCATTGCTACATTTCCCTCCTCCTCACCTGTATCAGCTTTGTTTCCCTGAACAGTGTCTGTAGAGGAATAACATTTTCCGTCACCGGCCAAAACCCTCTCCTGTTTAACAGGTTCCGAAGTCTCATTTTTTGTGCCGGCTTGGCGACCTGTGAAAATTTACTATGTTTAGATTAGAGAATGAATCTGGTAGCGAAGGGCAATGGGTTGGTATCTCACAAGGATCAAAGCAAAGACAAAATTTAGGAGATTACGAGCAAGGATTTGATTCATAAGTAATTGTTAGAAATTGATATAAGAATATGTACCGTCAACTATGCTGACTGAGTCAATCTCCATCATAAAGCAGAAGTTGTACCACGAGATAAGCCGGAATATCTCTTTACAGTTACAGACTTCACCAATTGTTGTGAAAACAACTCTGAAAACGACTGAAAAATGTATATAGCAACAATTATTATAAACAATAGAAGCTCAAACAAGGAAGTTAGAAGATTCTTCGATTTACTCCAATTGGTGGAATTTGATGATGAATTGAAGTAGAAACTCAAAGAGTGCAGGATTTCATCGAGTCTGTTGAAGTAGGTAGAAACTCAGAAAGTTTGGAGGTATGGTGAATTAGATTTAGGGTTCCTAATTTGAACGGCTGATGAATCGCAAATCTACAACTAATAAATTCATATGTAAGAAGATTATGAAAGGGGAAATAGAGTTAGGGTTAAAGATTTACCTGCCGATAAGTTGCTCCTCTGCTTCCGATCTCAATCATCTCATGCTCCTCTTTATAGTGTCCGTTTATACTTTATACCATACTCATGCGTGGCCACGTGTACAAGAAATCAAACACGTGTATATATTGAGGCTATGGGATAGATTGACAATGGATTAAATTCAGCATTAAAACGTTGGTTGATAAAAAAACATTAGTCGTATCAACTAATGTTTTAACTTTTATACTTTTCTATTTAACGATTAATATCCAGTCAAATACCTAGAGTATTTCCAATGGTTAAGGGATAATGATTAATGGTTAAAGGATAATGATTTAGAAGGGTAAAAAAGTTTATAGTTTGTTAGTATTAGATTACTAAGGTTTTTTTTTTTTTTTTTTCATATTAGATCAATATAGTTGTTATTACCGTTTTAGAAATAATCATTTTAACCGGTAAAAAAGATTATTTCTAAACGGTAATAACAATCATATTGGTCTAATACGCATAAAAAAACCTTAGTGACCTAATATGAACAAACTGGAAACCTAGTCATTAACCTTAATTATTTAGAAAACATGCTTACTAATCAATGTGATTGATTTGTTTGACTGAAAATAGTTGCTTCCATGTAAACTTATCTCACAACCCTTCCAGAACTTCTAAGTCCAAAACTCATATGATTGATGATCTTCATTACATAAATATGCAACATTTTATCAATAACTTCTTTTTTCATTTAAATGTTTACATGAACACGTCCATATGTACAAATACAATCTCACTTTGATACATCCTATCAATGTCTACATTTGATAACGAATGGAAATGTAAAACCAATAGAGACTTGCAGAGTATGCTTGTTATCAATTATTTTATAAAAAGCAAAACCACAACATGAACTAAGAAACTAAAGTTGCAAAATTAATTAAAAATCAGCACATAAACAAACACATACATACTATATACAACAAATAAACGGAAGTTTATAAAGCATGAAACTTAGTGACAGGAAAAGTAAAAAACTTAAAGGAGACTTTATAAAAAGAAAGATCACCCTTACTTGCCACGAGTGGTTGAAGACATCAACAAGAAGATCAATCTAACCATGGAATCCACACGTGTCTGATCATGACTTCAGTAGATGAACTACCAAAAGCGTAAGAATTGCAATTGAAGTCTATTAGCATTTGAAAATGGAATTAGGGTTCTAGAGAAGACGACGAAGGGTTTAAAAAAAATTGGACCACTTCTCGATTTGTGTTTGTCATCCTTGCGCAGGGGCCATGCTAATCTTCTCTGTATCGTTCCACTTTTATCGGATGTCCCCAAAGGGACGACCATAGATGAAGAGCTTCGTCATATAGAAAAGTAGCAGGTTATATGGGACGACACGAGTTCTAAACGAACCAGTTTACTGTTGATGGTCATATATTCTCAATGTCTTTAAATTTAGGGTTAATGACTTAGGAGGGTAATTAGGTTTCCATTTTGTCCGTATTAGGCCACTAAGGTTTTTTTTGTGCGTATTAGACCAATATGGTTGTTATTACCATTTACAAATAGTCATTTTTACCGGTTAAAACCGGTAAAAGAACTATTTCTAAACGGTAATAACAACCATATTAGTCTAATACGCAAAAAAAAAAAAATAATAAAAAAAAAATAAACATTAGTGATCTAATACGGACAAACTAGAAACCTAATTACCCTCTTAAATCATTATCCCATGGTTAAGTCATAACATGACTTAAAGCTTTTGCCACGTCATCATTTTAATAACTTAACCTATAATTAAATAATCACTCCAATGGTTAACCTCTTTGAATATCTTTTTTTATAAAAATTTAACTAATTTATCCACATCTATCTAAAATGTTCTATAAAACCCTTTTATTTAATTATTTGTTTTTTAAACACACGTTTTATTTTAATTTTATTAACAATATTAGAATACATTGTTTCAAACTAGAAAATATATTACAACATATCGTTCGGAAAAATAATACGAAAAAACTATTATGAAATAGTGATAAAAAATATTGAAAAAAAAATTATAATCATTATAATTTTTTATTTCATAAAAAGAAATGTCATTAGATATTCAATATAAATAATTAACTAGTAAATAAATAAATAAATAAAAGATTTAAAAGTAAAATATATTAGGAATGTAAATGAAATATAACTAAAGTATGAGGGGGTTAAGTGACAAAGTATAGAAGTATATTGACCACTCAATCATACATACTTATAAAGCTAACATTTTTCCTTAAACCTCATGCATTTGAAACCCCCATAAAAATTTGCAAACACCTCATGCATTTGAAACCTCATATTTTAATGAATATCCCTCAAAAGTCTCTTAATAATGATTAACAATTCAAAGGTTTTATAACTTATATAATATATTTAATAAATAATTAGTGATACTCTACTATAAAAAGGTCAATCTTTTTTAGTAGACACATAAATACAAATCACATACAAAATTTATAAAGAAAACAAGTTTAAAGTTTTTTGTGTTGGTTTGAGGGATTTGAACAATTTTTCGAGCCATTTTATTATGTTGAAGTTTTTAATTTGTAAGTTTGTTATATACTAATTCATTTTTGTATGTTCTTGATTTAAGTATTCTTTTAAGAATATCATTGTATGTTGTGGTTGCAATTTTAATGTAAATTAGATTAGATTCATGTTATCGATCATATGTTATGGAAGGTAATATATATATATATATATATATATATATATATATATATATATATATACTAGTTTATAACCCGTGAAAACCACGGTTATAAAACTAATTAAATTTTTATATTAAAAAATCAAATTTATTAATCAATTATTTTAAATAAATTATTACTTAAGAAATAATTTTTAGTTATATAAAAGGAATTATAATCAATGATTTAAATCAATGTGTGAAGTTATATCACCTTATAATCTATATTAATTTTATTTTATTTTTCAATCTAATGTTATTAATTTAATATAATTAAAGTGAGAAAATTAAATTTTAGAAATTTAAAATGAGGAATCAATTATTAATTTAATGTAATTAGAGGTTTAAATTTTGAAATTTGAAATGGATAATTAATAGATTGACAAGTGGCATGATAGGTGATATGTAACATTAATGAGGAGTCCTAATTGTATGACACTTGTCAATAGAAGATAAAACTTATTCTTTTATTAGAATAGGGATATATATATATATATATATATATATATATATATATATATATACATATATATATATATATATATATATATATATATAATTTTTTAATTAACTATTGTATACATGTTTGTATGTTCATGTTGCTTCAAAACAATAATTAATTAAAAATCATGGATATGTCATATTATCCATATTATCTATGTAAGCATTTTTTTTAAATGCGAATTGTCTATCTTATCACTTTATATTTTAGTATATGTTTAACATTTTGATTATAATAATAAGTGTTTTTTAAAAGTTTCTTTCACTTATTAATAATAACAAGAGGTTTTAAAATTAAGCAATAATTATAAATAATAAAATCAAATTACATGGATATGTCATATTATCCATGCAAGTCTCTTTTGAAATGCAAATTGTCTATCTTATCACTTTATTATTTAGTGTATGTTTCACATTTTAATAATAATATTAAGTGTTTCTTAAAAGTCTTCTTTAACTTATTATTAATAATAAGTGGTTTAAAATTAATGAATAACAATTTTAAATGATAATAACATCAAATTATAAATTACATTTAGCTATAAATAAATTGTATTTTAAATGGACATCATTATTGAAATTAGAAAATGATCGCATAAGTAAAATATATTTAATCAATAATAATAATTGTTAGAAACAAAACTAAATAGATAATTATATTTAATTCTATTAATGAGGAATGTGGGTTGGTGTCAATGAATATTATTGTTCAAAATAATATAGAATATATATATATATATATATATATATATATATATATATATATATATATATATATATAAATTAATGTAAAAATATTATCTCAAAGTTAATGTCAATAACATAACCATTTTAAACATATATATATATATATATATATATTTCAATATTTTAACAATATATTTTTAATCCTCACTGCGCAACGCACAAGAATTCGTCTAGTATATATATATTGAGTGGTCAATAGAAAAAAGCAAATAAGTTTTAACCTCCAATGGTAATAAGCTATAAAACAAATAAAGGTCAATAATAATACCCTATAAAAAAAGTTATCATTGGAGATGCTCTTATAAGAGTGAGCACAACAACTTCCATACTTGGCCTATATGTTACAAAATTTGTCAAAACTAGTTATCTTATTCAATTTGTTATATGTATCAACAAACTAGCAATGTTGGTCAAATACAATGACATGTAAAAACAATGCATTGCATACAAGTAAAGTAATTGAAAAAATGGTTATTTTTGGAAGATTGGGAGATTAAAACCCTTACCTTTCATATCTATAATTTTTTATATTTTTAATAGGTTAAAACTCATGTACAATGTTAAAATGGACAAAATAAACTTTCCCAACATCTTCATTTCTTATGTCATTTGATGATCAAGAAACAGAAAGTTTTCAAGATACTTACAAACCAAAACTCACTACACAAAACCTAATATACTCTCTTAACAAATCACTCATCCTAATATATTACAACCAAAGAACTGATCTAAATAGAGACTTTGAACATTACAGATGAACAAAAACCAGAGATATGAAGTTAGAGAATGAGAAAGCCCTAATAAAGAAACCCTAATGCTTTGATCTGGTAAACGACTTAATGAATGAAGAGTTCTTCACTCTCTCTCTCTCTCTCTCTCTCTCTCTCTCTCTCTCTCTCTCTTCCTTTATACTTCATATACATGTATACGAATATAACCCAAACAATAACCTACCCAAGTTCACGACCCACGTGTTTACCCTGCAATTTATCTTAACAACCAAAATAATATATTTTGAACACAAAACACCCTTTATCAAAAAATAATTTCCATTTTCATCCAATAAATATGAGATTGTAAATATATATTATTTTCAACATCCCCCCTCAATCGAAATATTTATTTTTCATTCTTAAAAACATCAATACGACCCATTTTGTTAGACAAAATTTCATGTTGTTCTATGCTCAAAGATTTAGTAAGAATATCAGCATTCTGTTCAGAAGAATTTATCCCAACCAATTTTAAAACTCCATTAGAAATTTTTTCCATAACAAAATGTTGATCGATTTCAAAATGTTTTGTCCTTTCAAGAAACACAAGATTAAGAGCTAACTTAATTGTTGAATCATTGTCACAAAAAACAGAAACAGGAATAAGACTTTTAACTTCTAGTTCAAACAAAATCTTCAAAACCCAAATTATCTCACAAGTAATAGAGCCAAGAGCTCTATACTCAGATTCAGTAGAAGACCTATAAACAATAGATTTTTTCTTACTCTTCCATGAAATCAAACAATTGTTAAAATAAACCATGTAACAAAAAACCCTGTTAATTCAAATATATATGACTTATTTATTGCAACTCCTTTTCCAGGACTACTTTTTAAATATCTTAGCAACCTGAATGCAATTTTCAAATGAGGTTTTCTAGGTTTATACATAAACTGACTAAGTACCTGAACAACATAAGAAATATCAGGCCTGGTAACTGTAAGATATATGAGATTACCAATAAGCTTTTGAAACTCTTTTATTATCCAACAACTCATTTCCTTTATCAGCCTCACATGTACTTATTATAAAATTTGTTTCTAAGGGTGTACTTACAAGTTTACAACCAAGCATACCATATTCATGCAACAACTCCAAACAATACTTTCTTTGATTTAAACACAAGCCATTATCAAAATTTACCACCTCTATTCCTAGAAAATATTTAAGAATTCCAAGATCCTTAATCAAAAATTAACTTTTCATAAAATCTTCAACCCTTTTCAATTTAGTTTCACTACTTCCAATTAATATAATATCATCCACATATACTAATAACACAGTTATTGAACCCTCAAATTTCCTAACAAATAGAGAATAATCACTTATACTTTTTTGAAAACCAAACATAAACAAAGATGCAGAAAAAGTTTTTCATTCCATTTCCTAGGAGCTTGCTTTAAGCCATATAATGACTTAGGAAGCTTACATACCCTAGATTCATTAGCAGAATAATAACCAGGAGGAAGAGACATATACACATCCTCTGTGAGATCACCGTAAAGAAACACATTATTTATATCTAATTGATATAAAGGCAAAGACTTATGCATAGACAATGAAATAATAATGCGCATAGTGACAATTTTTGCAACTGGAGAAAAAGTTTCTTCAAAATCTATACCCTCTCTTTGATTATATCTTTTAGCAACTAAACGTGCTTTATACCTTTCTACTTTTCCATTTGACTTATATTTAATTTTAAAAACCCATTTGCATCCAATTGGTTTTCTGGTTTTAGGTAATTCAATTATTTCCCATGTATGATTACGATGAAGTGCTTCAATTTCTTCATTCATTGCCTTAACCCAATTTGGATTAGACAAAGCTTCATTGTAATCCTTAGGTTCAATAGATTTATTGAGATTAGAAATAAAACATTTAGTTTCAGTATCAAGACAAGCATAGTTAATTGACCTTTCAATACCATATTTATATTTCCCTTCAACAAGATAATCAACAAATTTAACTGGCATATGTGACTCACGCCTAGATCTAGAAGCACCTAAAGACTGCTCTACAGAGGGTGTTAAGGGTGAATGACTACTTTCCTCAGACACACTTAAGGAAGAAGGAACATAACCAACAGTAGGAGGCACAATTGCCTTGCCACTTCGGTTGATGGTCTCACTAGAGCTGACATCATCCAAATTAAGGGCTGCATCAGCACCATCTAACTGGGACTCTACTCTCAGCTCATCAATATTAATAGAATCATTAAAATATTCATTTGTGTCAAAAACATCATAGGAAAAAAGATCACTAGGGCCAGAATTATCTAAAGTTATCAACATTAGTTGATTTTTACTTGTAAGGAAAAACGGACTCATAAAAATTTACATCCCTAGATACAAAAGAAGTGTTAGTATCCAGACTAAGAAGTTTATAAGCCTTTTTATCAGAAGAATATCCTAATAAAACACATTTCTCAGCATGTTCAGAAAACTTATCAGTAACATTTTGTTTAAAAGCAAAACATACACAATCAAAAACCCTTAAATGATCAAAACTAGGAGCTCTTTTGAAAACAAGTTCATAGGGAGACAAGTCATTTAAGACAGAAGTAGACATCCTATTTATCAATAATACCAAAGTTTAGACTGCATCTCCCCAATACTTAATAGGAACTCCTGATCGAAACATAATAGATCGTGCTACATTGAGAATATGTCTATGCTTTCTCTCTACAACTCTATTTTGTTGTGGAGTGTAAATAGGGGTGCAAACGATCCAAGCCGAGCCCGATCCTGACCAGGCTCGCCTCGGACTCATTTAAGTTATATGAGGCTCGAGCTTTCTTTTACTAAGCTCGGCTCAAGCTCGTAAAGAGTTATACAAGCTCGGATCAGGCTCGAGCTCGGCTCGTTTTTCGTTTAATGTGCCTAAATAAGCTTAAGTGCGGCTCAAGCTCGTTAAGAAGCTCGTTTACTAAAGAAACAAAAAACCTAGTCTAACACATACTAGATATAACTGTGAACCTAACTACAAGGATCAACACAAAAGGAGAAGAGTACCTTTCACAAATCGTCGTCGAAACCAAAACGTCAAGTGACTGACAAACATCAGGATCAAGAAACAAGAGCCTTACAACTCTGATACCATGTTAAAATGGACAAAATAAACTTTCCCAACATCTTCATTTCTCATACCATTTGATGATCAAGAAACAGAAGGGTTTCAAGATACTTACAAACCAAAACTCACTACACAAAACCTAATCTACTCTCTTAACAAATCACTCATCCTAATCTATTATAACCAAAGAACTGATCTAAACACAGAATTTGAACGTTACAGATGAACAAAAACAAGAGAGATGAAGTTAGAGAATGAGAAAACCCTAACAGAGAAACCCTAATGTTTTGATCGGGTAAACGATTGAATGAATGAAGAGTTCTTCACTCTCTCTCTCTTCCTTTATACTTCAGATACATGGATACGGATATAACCCGAACAATAACCTACCCGAGTTCATGACCCGCGTGTTAACCCTGCAATTTATCTTAACAACCAAAAGAATATATTTTGAACACAAAACACCCTTTATCAAAAAATAAGTTCCATTTTCATCCAATAAATATGAGATTGTAAATATATATTATTTTCAACATACTACATGATTGAGAAATTAAAATAATGTGGATATTAACAAAAACATAGTCATTATAATAAATTTATAAACACTTCTTTTATACAACATTCAAATACAACCACTTATTTGTTCCAGGATTCCTAAATATAAAATGTTCTCTAATCTGTATCGACTATTTTTCAATTACATAATTCTTCTCTACTATTTTTCAAACTCCTGAACATCCTCAATCAATTTAAAAGATAGTTTCCAACAAACTATGAGAAGATCAGAAAAAATGCATTACATTTTTTAGGGGTGAGAAAACGGATCGAATCGTCTCGAACCGGCCCAAAATCAATTTGGAACCGGAACCGGAATTGATGATTCAAGAGGATTGTAACGTTCCGAATTTTTATAACAAATTATATCGAAGGATGAAGGATGGTTCGATCAATTATTATATAATCACAAGAAATATAAGGGTCTTGGTTTGTTTTCTAAGTAAATAAATAAAAAGAATCATGAGATTTTATTATATCTCAAAAGATCATAATCAAAAATAAATAAATATTGGGTTTAATTAAAAAGGGTCACATAATAAAGAAAGACTAAATTGCACAAATGGTCTCTGTGGTTTGCGCAAAATTGTTACTTTGGTCCAAAAAGGTTTGGACAAACACCAAAGGTCCAAAGTTTTCATTTTGTTGTTTGTTTAGTCTAATCTATTCTGTTTTTTTTTTCTTCAAAATGATGGATTTGCCCCTGTTAATATGATTTTCTTTATTTTATTAATTGTTTTTTTCATTTTTTCATATTTAAAAAAATAAAAAATATATAAATAAATAAATATAAATCTCTCTCTCTCCCTCCCTCCCTCTCTCTCCAAATACCCACTTCTTCTTCATGAAAATTGTCCAGATGAACAATAAAAACACCAAGAACAGATTGTTGAACTCGTCGATTCTCAATGGAGATGGAGAAAAGAGAACGAGAAATCATATCTAGGGTTAGTTTCTCCATCTGTTTTTAGATATGTTCATCTTCTCCATCTATTTTTATATATGTTTGTGTTCTTCAACACTGTTAGGATCGGTTTACCACACCACCCCCCTTCTCAGTTCCAACCACACCCTCCAGTACCACGATAAATCTTCAACATATGATCTATAGACCACAATCAACCACCAAAAGCAATCAACGACCACCGTCTCCGGTACCACGAGTGAAGTTCGCTTAGGGCACGTCGTTACAAGAGCATGTCGATCCTTGGACTCAAGACAACAAACCACTTATTTCTAACGCCAATGTTGTGAAATCCCTAATTTATTTTTGTAAAAACTGGGACTGTCAATCGAAGCTATTCCTCCATTAGGATTTCAAAACGAAGCTCCCGCAACAAAAACCTAACCCTAAAGTTTAAGGCGGCGACACATAGATTGAAGCTAGGGTTTCAGATTAATTGAAGAACATGCGCAACGATTTTTCATTTTGATTTTGGAGATTTTGCTTCAATTGAATGTGGACTCATGGATTTGGTTTGACCCCTTTTCACTCCTGTCACCGACCCTTTCATTTTTGGTGTATCATCTGGTTTAAATGGCGATAAATGAAACAATCTTGGAATTTGGTGTCTGAACAAGACGAGGGTGAGGATTGAAAGCAAAGTTCCGCATGGGGGAACTGGGTGACCTGAATGATAGCAACCTTTGAGATAGAGTTTTCGGACTGGTGGGAATTGATTATGGTTTTTTGTAGGTAATGGCAATTTTCAAAACCTGTCGGAGGTTGGTGATGGCAGAGACGATAGGGGCTAAAGGTGGAGCTAAAGGCAGTGGTGGCTAACGGTGATGATGATAGTTGAGTCGACAATGAAGGGTTCTTGAGAGCCATGAAGAACAAATGAAGGTATGAGAAATAGTGGAGAGAGAGAGAGATAGAGAGAGAGAGATTTATTTTTTAAAATCTAAAAATCAGAAAAAACAATTAAGAAATAAAATCATATTAACAGGGGCAAATCCGTCATTTTGAAAAAATCAGAACTAATTGGACTAAAAAAGCAACAAAATGAAAACTTTGTACCTCTGGTGCTAATCCAAACATTTTTGGACCAAAGTGACAATTTTGAGCAAACCACAGGGACCATTTGTGCAGTTTAGTCACAAAGAAATGATATTGGATTCTAAAATCGTTTAGCCCACAAAGACAAAATTGTACGCATGGTTCCTGTGTTTAGCTGAAATTGTCACTTTGGTCCAAAAAAATTTGAACTAGCACCAAATGTCCAAACTTTTCATTTTGTTGTGAGTTTTGTCCAATATTGTTTGAACTTTTTTGAGTAAATTACACGGATCATCCCTTGTGTAGGTGTCAAAATGCACGTTCGGTCCCTATTTTCAAAATTTAACTCGGATCATCCCTCATTTTAATTAAAACTTGCAGAATCCATCCGTCCAGACATAAAAAGATTATTTTGCTCTTAATAATTTATTTTTTAATTTTTTTAATTTTTTTATTTCTTTTATATTAAAAAGGAAAAGAAAAAAAAAAACTATTTCTACCCACCCCTTCCCTTTTCCCAATTTTCTTTCCCTCTTTCTCACCCACCTCCGACAACCAACAACTCCTACTCTCAGCTCAGCTCCTCATCATCCTCCTCCCTTTTCCGGTGAGGTTAAGAATAACTCCTTTTTCTCTTACTCTATTTTCTGGTCGCCAAAGAAGAGAACTAGTGATATCATTAGCATCTACCACCTACCCGCTATTCTCTTTCAACCTCTCTTCTTTGCTTCTTGTTCATAAACTAATACTGACGGTGACAACACCACCTCCCCTACCCCTGATTCAAGGGTCGTCACCAATTGCTGATGAACCTAAGGATCCATCAACACCGAACCTAACATCAACATATATGGTAGAAGGAGATATCACACCTACAACACCAGATCTTAAAATGCGAGATGATGAAATTGATTCCAAGAAATCGATAGGATGGATTGGGAAGTTACATCAATGGGAAATCGATTGGGTTTAGGTATTGCTAGTGCTTACTCCATCTCCACCCTCTCTATGTCCATCATTAAACTATATTGCAGGTTTTGAAAAAGGTCCGATTTGGAAATCGAAATTGTGCTAGTTCAATACTATGAGAGCGACAAGAGAGACAGAGAGATATGAGTGATTTTAGATTTTTGCAGGGGCGTTTTTGGAACCATTTTTAAAAACCTCTGATTTTGCAGGTTTTCAAGAACCTCTGATTTTGCAGGTTTTCAAGAAGAGAACGAAAAGAGAGACGAAGAGATATGAGTGATTTTTGATGTCTTGAACTATTTCGATTTCAAATTGATTTTCATTTTGAGTTTCATTTTTGAAGCGGTTTTGGGATTTCTAAAATGGTTTTCAATTTCTATAATCATTTGGGTTACACGTTTCAGATTTTTTTATATTTGATTTTCGATTTCTGGAACTGGAGGTGGAAGGGTGCAAATCGGGGGTAGCCGAAGAAGATGACCAGAGTAGAGAAGAGAAGAGCATATCGGGAGTGGAAGAGAATGGGTGGGTGGGGTGGGTTTGGAATTTATTTTTTTCTTTTTCAAAAAATATAGAATAGTTTAAAAATAAACTAAAAGTAAAATAATAAAGGAATTATAGTCATTTTATATTTGACAAATGATGAAATGTGCAAACTTAAATTAATGAGGGATGAAACGTGCAACTTTTAACCAAACGAGGGACGGTCCGAGTTAATTTTTTAAAATAGGGACCTAACGTGCCTTTTGGCACCTGCATGAAGGACGATTCGTGTAATTTACTCATTTTTTTATTACAACAATTAAAAATAAAAGAAAAATAAAATACTCTCTCTCTCTATCTCTCTCTCTCTCTCCCTCTCTCTCTCTCTCTTAAAGTTTGTAACACCATCTTCTTTCTCTTCCGGTCAACTGTCCACCCAGCGCAAAAAAAAAAAAAACACAGTAGAATCACCGATGCACCACCACTTGCAGGAAGATGAAAACTATCGATACAACACCGTCAGTCGCCGTCGTCACCACCATCAACCACCGTCGTCGTCTCCACAACAACCACTATCATACAACCTTTAAGAACGCAACCACCAACATCTTCTTCATGCCTTATTATCTTCGTTATTGGATCTGGAACGTCACCCTCTACCTTCTCCGATATCGTCTATCGGAAACTATAAGTTGTAGTCTTCGCTACTAGGGCTTTCATAAATCTCCACCTCCAACGTAGGAAGCCACCACCGAAAACCCTAGCTCTGGTGAAATAGGACAGTGATTTCAGATCGCCGCCCTTCTCTCCATCTCTTTAAGATATGATAACCCTTCTATCCCCCTCTCGTAGATCCGAAAACCCTGTAAACCCACCTCTATGATGTGTCGTAGATCCAAAAACCATGTAAACCCACCTCGGTGAGGACACCAGTGATGGTTGTTGCAAAGAAATGGGTATTTCAATACAACTCGGATTCACTCTGTAATACTTTACACTTTTGTTCCATTACATGAACTCAAGTAAAAAATTTAAACCGGAAGTGCTCAAACGAAGTGGGTTTTCTGAGAAGTTCATTACTTGAATCTTTATACAGATCGATGGTAGATGGATATGGAGGTTCAATTAGGTTTTTTGTTTATGTGTACGTGTGTGTGAGTGAGAGTTTTTTGTTTGGTTGAAAGCTTTGAGCCTTGAAGTTGGTGTAACTATCTTTGAAGAGCAATTAAGAACATGAAAGTTCTTTAGGTATGGTGTTTGATCTGAAAACTATTGATGATGACGATTGTTTGGTGTTTATCAAAGTGATACATGAGCTCCTAACTGAATTTCTGGTTCGATGCATTCTAGGTTATCCAAACAATAATAAAAAAAAAACTTAAATTTGTGCTTTTGTTGAAAAAAAAAACATGTGAATAACAATAAATTTTAGTGGAAGCTGGACATTTGATCTAAAAAGATGAGGGTGGAATGAAGAATGAGTGTTTGTTGAATTCCAGATACGAAAGTCTATTGATGGGGTGGGGAGTATTTTTCTTTTTTTTTTTTTTCTTTTTTTTTAATTCTTTTTAATTGTTGTAATAAAAAAAAATTAAAATATTAAATAATAAGGGGCAAAATAGTCTTTAAAAAAAGTTCAAACAAAATCGGACCAAACTCACAACAAAATGAAAAGTTTAGCTAACCATAGGGACCATTTGTGCAGTTTAGTCTAGTCGCCCACAAAACATTTAGCCCAAAAGATGATTTGATCCAAAAATACACAAATGGAAAATAAATAAAAGTTGAGGGGCATATATGAAAGTTGGTCGTATGAGACTTATATAATATATGAATTTATTTAAAAGAAAAAACTAAATATAAAATTCTAAATATTTAAGAAGTTTGAATTTATAAGAAAAATAAAAAAATATATTGAATTGTAAAAATTAAAATGTTTTTTTTTTTTAAATTTAAACAAATAATTTAGATAAATAAATAAAAAAAATTAACATTTAATTTAGTAATTTTGAAATTAAAAAGGAAAGTTCATTGAGAAAAATAATATATATTTATTATTGCATTTAAATACTATGTAGAATTAATAAAATAAAAAACTATAAAATAATATGTGAAATAAAAATTAATTCAAAATAATTATAAAATTATATTTGACAAATGAATAAAATTTGATAAGTGGGAAAAAAAATCTAATTTCATTTATTATTTATTTCATTTATTATTACTCAGAGTAGATGTTTAAACTGGACCTGGAAAGGAGAAAGAAATCAATTCTTGTGTACGTGAAATTGTGGGTGCTTGTGCGATTCAATCAGAGACAAGAGATAGAACCAGAGGGAGAAAGAGAAAGAAAAAGGTCGATGAGGGATGGGGTTAAGAGAAAAAGAATGCGGAAGGAGTACATCAGCCATGGCAGCTCCGCCACTGTGGGCGGCAGTGGTGATCCACGGAGGCGACTGATAGACCTAGTTTGAGATGGTCAATCTCCAGAAGACAACGAGGAAGGAAAAGAAGACTAGTTGGGGCAATATTCTTTGTACATTAATTGAATGTAAATTGCTGTTGGGAATCAAAAACCTTCTCAACAAAAGGTATTATCAAACCTTCATACCAAACAATTGCAACTAATTTTCCTATCATGCATTTTATTTACTGCAACAATTAAGGGAAACGTGGCCTACTTCTAATGCATGCATAACAAATGGAAAAGAGTGTGCTCTGGATTCAGTCCATCCGTCCCCGAATTTAGCTCCAACCTTTGACTATCCGTAGGTGTTCTTTGGACCCCAAGGATTGAGCTTTCAAATGCATATCAAAATTAGATTTCTGTGTCTTGAAGCCTATTATGTAATGCCCTTAAGAACATAAAAGAAGCAAGCAAATGTGGTTACGAGTAGGCATTCACTTCGTTAACATTATGTTTAGTCAAGTCTGTCATACGATAGGGCTGTTGTGTAGATGGTTAAAAAGATGATGTATAATTACTACTGGAAATAAGTTTATACAAATATGGAAGAAAGCAATGAAATTTGCTACATTTATATATGTAAGCTAAAGAATACTTGGAAAATGTTTAGAAAGTTTATAACCTATAAATAATCAATTGAAATGCCAAGTTAGTTCAATTTGACAGCTTTGACTTTTTAGAGGAGTCAAATATTAAGAATAAAAGTGGGATTACTTGGTGTACATTCAATATATGTTAAAATTGAGTTTGGACTCAAGAAATACCTTTGGTAATGAGTTAGAAACATAAAAGAAGCAAATAGTTTGAACTCTCGAGTTTGGTAAAAGTAATTTAGTAAAAGTGGACAACGTTGATTTTTGGTAAAGTCATACTCTACACAAGAATGAGAATTTCAAGTCTATGATTAGGAAGCTAGTTAAAGTTTGCTATTGGGACATGTATATGATATTACTTGATGATGCTAAGTTTAAGATGCAAGTGTTTGGTTAGCTATCTTGTAATGAATCACTTAGTTGTAAAAAGATTGTAAAAAAAAGTCTTGAAAAGTCAGATTGTAAGCAAAGAAAACACTAATTTTAAGATGAATTTGTAAAAAATAAAAAATAAAAATTTGGTCCAAATGTAATAAAATTTAAAACTTGAGTCGAATTTCTAAAATTCCAAAATGACATAGCATGTAAAAACCAGAAAAAAAAAACAATAACAGTTTGTTCAATTTTATGTAAACTATTGTTAGTATGTTAACCCTTGTCAATATGGCCTTCGCAAATGCAATGAATTGTTTCTTCAATTCCATTAAGGGAACAACGTACGCACTAGGGGTGTTGAACGGGTAATTTTTTCGGGTTTCGGGTAATTCGGGTCGGGTAATTCGGGTTTTTCATGTTAGAAAAATTACCCGTTACCATACCCAAACCAAATTCGGGTTTGGGTAATTCGGGTATTACCCGAAATATATATATATATATATTTTTTTGAATTTCACCTGAAAATAAATTTAATAAAATAAATATGTCGTGCTTTATTAGTCTTGTTTATATAAACAAACGAGACATAAACGAAGTTACTCAAGCTTTGAACATTGAGATTTTTTAGTCAATAAATCATGAGATATCAAGTAATTTTTTAACAACTTAATCTAATCTAATAAGATGTTAAAAAAACAAATACCTAAAGATCTTAATTTAAAAGTTTAAAATGTTTAAGATAAATGTAGCCATAAGTTTTGCCATGTTCTAAAGTTTCGTCAAGATAATGAATTTCTTAGTTGCAATAAAAACTATAATCAAGAAAACAGTTAAGTTTTAAAGAACGTGATGATATTTAAAAATTACTTTTAATATTGTTAGTGTCGTATTGTCATAATAAATATATTTATGTTTTACAATAATGATATAGTTTAAGCGTGATCAAATATCTGTTATATCGTACAAGCTCTACAAAAAAAAGGAATTTTTAAAATAATTTGGGTAATTCGGGTATACCCGAAACCCAAAAAATGTACCCTTTACCCTATCCGAAAAAAATTGGGTAACCCGATTACCCGGAAAAAT